ACTACTACTACTAATCCTACTACTACTACTACAACTACTACTACTACTGCTACTACTACTACTACCACTACTACTACTACTACTACTACTACTACTACTACTACTACTACTACTACTACTACTACTACTACTACTACTACTACTACTACCTACGACCTACGACCTACGACCTACGACCTACGACCTACGACCTACGACCTACGACCTACGACCTACGACCTACTACTACTACCTACTACCTACTACCTACGACCTACGACCTACGACCTACGACCTACGACCTACGACCTACGACCTACGACCTACTACCTACTACTACTACTACTACTACTACTACTACTACTACTACTACTACTACTACTACTACTACTACTACTACTACGACTACTACTACTACTACTACTACTACTACGGGACTACGGGTAAAGCTACAACAACTACATCCTCCTCCTGCTCCTATCCTACTCCTCACTACTACTATACTACTTACTACTACTACTACTACTACTACAATACTACTATTACTACTACGACTACGGGGACTACGACTACGACTAACGACTACTAATACTAACTACTACTACTACTACTACTACTTACCTTACTACTACGACTACTACTACTACTACTACTACTATACTACTACTACTACTACTACGACTACTACTGCGACTACTACTACTACTACTACTAATACTACTACTATACTACTCTTACTACTACTTACTACCTACTACTACAAGAAGACTACTACTACTACTACTACACTACTACTACAAATACTAACTACTACTACTAATTTAACTACTACTACTTTAGGCCTACCTCTGGCGACTAATACTATATACGCTACTATACTACTACTATACTACCACTTACCACTATACTACGGGACTTAGCACTACGACGACTCTACCAACTACTACTACTACTACTACTACTACTACTACTACTACGACTTCTACTACTACGACTACGACTACGACTACGACTACGACTACGACTACGACTACGACTACGACTACGACTACGACTACTACTACTACTACTACTACTACTACTACTACCAGTACTACTTCAGGGAGGTTCAAAAAAACAGGAATTCTAAAAACAAGGAAATGAAAATTCTAGGTTGTCGCGTAGAGATCGCAGCCCCGAAGCGAGGCAGAGAACGAAACTAGAAGTTGTTAAAACAAGCACCGGACCCGCGACGCGGCATGAAACAAAACAAGGGACGCCCTGGAACAGCAGGGAGAAGATCTGGGGGAAGATCTGTCGGGAGATCTGGGGAGTGTCCAATGGAAGATTCGGCGCGGTTGCAATGCGATAAATCTGGAGGGATATTGGGCGGAAAATCTGGGGGTGATCTGATTGAACATCTCGGATATAATATTTGGCGTGAAGTCTGGAGGAAGATTTGGAGCGACATCTGAGGGAAGATCTGGTGGAAGATCTGGGCGAAAATCTGGGAAATGTGCTGAGGGAGATTTGGCGGTGTAGTGCGTCGTGAATCTGCAACAACATTTGCGGGAAGATCTCGAGAAGATCTGAAGAAATGGCTGAGGGAGAAGATCCGGGAATTATCTGGGGGAAGATCTGGGTGAAGATCTGGAGGGCGATCTGGAGGAAGATCTGGGGGAAGATCTGAATCAATACCTGGGTGAATATGTTGGGGAAACATAAAAGAGCTCTGCGGGACAACATCGGGGAAGATCAGAGGAAAAATCTGGATGACGATTTGGAGGAAGATCGGGGGGAAGATCTGGCGGAAGATCTTGGGAAACATCCGGGGAGAGATTTGGGGAAAGATCTGGGAGAACATCTGGGGTAATATCTGGTGGAAGATCTGGGCGAACATGTAGAGGAATATCTGGAGGAAGATTTGGGGGAAGATCTGTGGGAAGATCTGGGGGAAGAGCTGGAGGAAGATCTGAAGGGAGATTTTGGGGGGGATCTGGGAGGAGATCTGGGGAAAGATCTGGGGGAAGATCTGGGGGAAGATCTGGTAGAAGATCTGGGGGAACATCTGGGGGATGATCTGGGGAAGATCTGGAGGAAGATCTGGGGTAAGATCTGGGGAAAGAATTTGGGAAAGATCCGAGGGAAGATCTGGGGGGAGATCTGGGGGATGATTTGGGGGAAGATCTGGGGAAAGATCTGGGGGAAGATTTGGGGAAAAATCTGGAGGAAGATCTGGAGGAAGATCTGGGGAAAGATCTGGGAGGAGATCTGGGGGAAGATCTGAGGCGATAACTGGGGGGAGATCTGGGCGAGGATCTGAAGGGAGATCTGGGTGAAGATCTGGGATGGGAATTGGGCGAAGATCTGGGTGAAGATCCTGGGGTCGCACCGCGCCAGCTTTTCGCGCCCCCGAAGGCCAGAAGGCCTCGAACCTCGATCCCCCAGATATTCCCCCCTGATCTGGGGGGAAGATCTGGGGGGAGATCTGGGGGAAGATCTGGAGGAAGAACTGGGGAAAGATCTGGGGGGAGATCTGGGG